TTCTCACCTGTCATTTCACACCAAATATTAAAATTTAAAAGTGGAATTTGAATTAATTTAAGGTTATGTGATGTGTGTCCAGATTTTAATGTGTTAAGTTCCTCGTCCTGTTCTTGTTCATTTTGTAAAACTTTGAAATTCAGTTCTGTACCCTTAATTGCATCAACTTCGAAAGCTCGAGATAATGTGTCAGCTATAATGTTCTCCTGTCCTTTAATATATCGTATGTCATTAGTAAATTGTGCAATGAATTCCATATGTCTAGTTTGTCTCGGACTACGTTCGGTTTTTGAACTCAAAGCATATATCAAAGGCTTGTGATCCGTAAAAACTGTAAATTGTCGTCCTTCTAAAAGATAGCGAAAATGTTTAATAAATAAATAAATAGCTAGCAACTCCCTGTCAAATGCACTGTACTTAACTTCGAATGGAGAAAGTTTCTTAGAAAAGAAAGCTAGCGGCTCTGATTTGTTATCAAACGTTTGATGTATGACACCACCAATTGCCGTATTAGATGCATCCACATTTAAAGAGAGTTTGGCATCTTTGTTAAAATGATTTAACAATACCGTAGACGCAAACTTTTCTTTAATACATTCAAAGGCTTTATTTGTTGTGTCATCCCAAATTAAGGACTTGTCACGTTTCTTAGTTGTTCGATTGATTAAATCGTAGATAACTGCCGTAAACTCAGCTAATTTTGGTACATATCGATGGTAATAATTAACCATGCCTATAAATTTCTGCGCCTGTTTAATAGAATTAGGACGTTCAAAACTACGAATAGCTATCACTTTTTCATCAGAGGGTCTAATTCCTGCCCCAGAAATATTATGTCCTAAAAAGTCAACACTTGTTACACCGAAAGTACATTTACTTGGTTTGATATTTAACCCGTACTCTGTTAGGCGTTGGAAAAGTATACGGAGATCTTTAAAATGCAGTTCTTCATTTTCACTTGCAACCAATAGATCATCAATATATGTAAAAACAAAATCTAAACCACTAACTACTTCATTAATAAATCTTTGAAAAGTTTGCGCTGAATTTCTTAGTCCGAAAGGCATTCGTATAAATTCAAACATACCGAAAGGTGTCGTTATTGCAGTTTTATAGATATCCTCTTCTGCCATTGGAATTTGGTGGTAGGCCCTTACCAAATCTAATTTCGAAAATATATACTTATTTCTGAGATTCATGTTAAAATCTTGAATATGAGGTAAAGGATAACGGTCCGGTACAGTCACAACATTAAGTCTCCGAAAATCACCACAAGGACGCCAGTCATTCAGTTCTTTTTTAGGTACAAGATGCAGTGGAGATGCTACACAAGAATTTGAAGGTCTACAAATCCCTGTCCTCACTAAAAAATCGAATTCAGTTTTGGCTACTTTAAATTTAATCGGATCCAAGCGCCTTGGCTTAGAGAATGGCAGATTTCCTTCAGTAAAAAGTCTGTGAACCGTAGAATGTTTAACCGGTTTCGAATAATCTGGTTCAGCGATCAAAGAAGGAAACTCCTTCAACAATCTTGTATACTTGTTCTCTACTACGAAAATTTTTGGAAGCGAAATGTTACAAACACATGAAACTGTGTTAACCGAAAGACTTGTTACTGGATCAACTAAACGTTTGCATTTCATGTCAATTAAGAGACCGTATTTGCAAAGAAAATCTGCACCAATAATAGTGTCGATGATGGCAACCCAAGAAATGTTGCTGAACAAAAGTAGCAGAATTTATGTACATATGTCTTTGTAAGAGCGTATTCATGTATTTCAAAACAGTTGTTTTAGATAACTTAGGTTGTAGAAGATATAAATGCGGGTGCCTCCGAAAATTTCTTTCTTCTTTACATTGTTCACGGAGCGAAACCAGTGTGAGTAGAAATTGTAATTTTTTAAGTCTAATTTGTATTTAATATGCTGCTAATTTACTAGAGAATAAACCACTCAACCAACTATGTAACTGACAACTAATTGTAAACCTTCGTCAAGCAACTACATTATTTCAAATAAAAATAACTTACAAATATTGAAATTGGAGCTTAGTGACATTCATTTGCAGCCGTGCCATCTTCTAGTTGGTTCCAAGTTTATTCACATATCCGTGGTAAAGAACATCTTTATTCTACTGGCTGGCAATCTCGCAATTGCCGCCAAAATTAAACGTCACTGCTGATATTTCCCGCCATTTTCGTTACTATTGCGTTTTTTCGT